TTCTACCAATAAGTGCAATTATTATTTCTTTTTACTAATATCTTACTATCACAATGGTATTGGCCAAACCATTAATATGTAATCTCTTATAATTTTGTAACAGATTACTTGAGAAGGGTCGATATCCGGGACCAGTGTAGGTCGTTTGCGTTATACAATTATTTGAATAAATGGCTCTGTTGTACCTTCGCGATTTAAAAGTTACGGTTTCGTGTCGACGATACTTGTTTGAAAGTGACTCGAACTGATTGAAACGGGCGAATAAAAGGAACGTGTACTTCTAGTCACGAGATTGTAACGCAGACATGCCCCCCCGGTCAGACGTTTCTTCGCAATCGCACACGTACCATCGAGCGCACCCAATTTCGCGAGTTGCCAAAGCCGTTCGCCCCACTTGCGTTGATCGCGCCGTACGCTTGTCTTACTGTTATGTCGCCGGTAATTAAGGATAAAGGCGTTTATGGCAATATCTGTCGCCGATCCGCGGTGGCGAAGGACGAGACCAGACATTTCCGAGCAGAAATCGCGTCGTTACCTGCGCATTTCGAGTACGTGCTTCCCTCGGAGTTGGGGAGATCGAGTTTTCGACGAGAGAGATCAGGTGGGTTCCCCGGGTCAGGTAATATCATAGTCGTATTCCGCACGTATATGAAACTCGCTAACTAATTTCGCTCGCGCGTGTGGTACACGCGTTCGAAGAATAAGTTGCCCTCGAACGGCACGTTCGCCGCGAAATCTCGCCGATCTATCGCATAATTTATGCATATTCTACCGCAACGAGGTAATACGAGCAACAACGCAAACGTACAAATCAACAAGTGTATATGTAAACGAAAGCTAATCCGCGACGTGACGACTTCCGATCGTGTAGCTCCCTCCGTTCTCTCTTCCTTTTTCGCCTGCCGATTACTTTCGAATCGTCAAAGCGATATACATATTTACGCAACTGTCTGCCGAGGAAAATCTCGCGACGCTCATATCTCGAGTGCTCATTGAGATGCTGCGCGGCAGCGAAGCCCCGGCCGCGGCGGTCGGAAGTCGAGGCGTCGGTTGAAAAACGCCGCTCCAGGATGATCGTTTCACACAGTGCGGCGACGTTATCGCCGCACGTTCTCGCCCGCCCCGGTTACGCTGAAGAAAAAGCTGCTAGAAAAATAGGGAGGGAAAAAGAAAGAACGGATACTATTTGTCGAGCGGAATAGCGGCATTCCCAAATGGAACGCGAGAGCACTCCGGTTATTAGCGCACTTAAGTGCCGACGGAGAACTTGGGGTCCCTCGTGTCGTCGAAACGAGGGTGGGCGGTCGATATCCATCCGGTGCGCATTCCCCTTGCCCTTACCGATGGTCCTTCCCTTGCTTGTACCGCGATATGCATAATATTTACACTGCCCCGAAGTGCCAGGCGCGTCAATTTCACCAATTTCAGATATATGCGCGCGAATGCACGAGACACTCGCTGCGGCTGCAGTCCCGAGCTGCGCGACATCGATAGGGTGTCCCAGGTTGTCCCGCGCTCCGTTCGCCGTACGAATTCCCGGGCTGGTCCGCGATCGGTGCCGTGTGTGTGTCGATAAAGCAAAAGTCTGACCGAATCGCAGCTCTAAGGCCCGGTTTTCTGGTTAACCGGAAGTTAGTCGACTCCCCCCATCTTTTTCTACGTTATTATCCGAGAAGAGACGGAGAGTCGACTAACCTCTGGTTAACAATTAAGCAGAAACTGAAAAACCGGGCCTTAGATCAAAAGACGATTCAACAGCCGGGAAGTTGCGCGCGAGTTTGTCTTTAAAAATTGATGGATAAATTTGTCCCTGTCTCTCTCTCTCTCTCTTTCTCTCGACGAGTGTTAAATGAGGAAACGTTACTTTGATAGGACTTTAATATTTAGAGCCAAAGTCTTTAAAGTTAATTGAAGAAAGCTCGCTGCGGAAGGCGGCGCCCAATCAAGTTGCCGCTAAAGGGAAATCAGCTCCAAATTGATTCGTAGATAAAGGGAAGTACGAGACACCTTGTACACCGGGCGTACGCCGCAATTCCGAAATTCCCGATCCCTCCTCGGGGCCCGGCAAGCGGAGCGCGTAAATGCGAAACGAGTTCTTGAGTGTAAGTTAAGCCGCGAGCTTACGCGCTTATTTAGCCAATTATGCTTCGGCTCGCAACATCCGGCGAGCGTTGTTCGCGGTTCGAATTTAGTTTCGCGAGAGGAATGGTAACAATGTCTCTGTTATCGAGCGTGTTTAAGCGCTCTCGTAAATGGCTTTCTTTATGCGGTGCAAAAATTTATACCGTAACATGCACGCAATTCATCCGTCGAGCTAATTGTAAGCCTGACCAAATTTACTCCGGATTGTACGCAAGTAATAAAATTCGATACGTAAGGAAACCAAAGTATTGCTCGAGTAAAAATATGTTCGTCCCATTCGCCGTAAACGCGACTTTTCTTTCGTAATTTCTTCAACTACTTTTGATTTCTTAATATTTCCCACCCCGAAAAAAAAAGCCATCAACCGCGATTGAGGTCTCCGGCGCGCAATCAAAACTATCGGACGAGCGAGCCCCCGATCATCCCCCAAGTCGATTCGTTTGAATGCTATCGCGTCCGTAATGAGAAAAATTAAAACGATCGGGAGAATAAAGGGGCGAACGAGATTAAAGCGTGGGAAAAGTTAGGGCGGGCGTGCACGGGAGGGACATTTGATTCCGCTCCTTCTCAATGAGTTTTCTTCGGCGACGTCGTACTCTCTCCGTAACTCGAGATAAACTTTTGGCAGGTAACGTGGGAAAAACGATAGCGCGCATTTCTCCACGCTCCGTACGCTACATCGTCGAGTACACTCGACTGTTATTTCAGACTCTTCTCCGCCCGCTCTTCCCTCCACCCCGTCCCTCTCTCTCTCTCTCTCTCTTCCCCCGTAGTTTGAGTTGGTACTCAGATAGCGTCCCGTGATGGCAGGCGGTATCGTCTTCTCCAGCGGGCGGGCGGCGCGGCGCAGCGATGAACTTTATGGAAATGGTCAACATTATTTTTCCGTACACGGCATCCGGCCGCCGCCGCCAACCGTAAACAATACGGACACAGACGATACGTCCCCCGGTACGGCGGTAGCGGCCACAGAAAACAAGCGTAACGTCCGCATTTTACGGCAAACAGGCCACGACGGACGCGTATAATTATCGATCATGGGCGTCCCGACCGCGGGTCTCGCGGTCCCGTGATTGCGTCGCGCGAAACACACTCTCTAGATCTGTCTCGTTGCAGCCTCAAGATTGCGATAGACACGTCGCGGTAAAACTTTTTTTCTTACAATACTCATTTAATTGGTAAATTTGCGACGAGTTGCAAACGTGACTCTGAACATACGTTCGGGCTTACCAAAAATTTGGAGATAATTCTGTTTATTATACAGGGTGTTATGCAATACCCGCCTCACCTCTTATTTACGGACAGAATGGACTAGACTGGGTCGAAAAGTCCTCTACCATTTTGCAACTTTCGCAATAGTTGACGAGTTATTAATTATTGAAAATCGGTGTCTTAGCTCGGCCTACCGTTCAATTCAAACGCGCGCCTAGCAACGCCGATCGCGAGACGGCCGCATCTTGTCGCGTACTTGAATTGGACGTACGGTAAGTTGGACTAAGACAGCGACTTTCATTAATTAATAACTCGTTAACTTTTGCGAAAATTGCAAAACGGTAGAGGACTTTTCGTCTCAGTCTAGTCCGCTCTATCCGTAAATAAGAGGCGAGTATTACATAACACCCTGTATATAAAACAAGATGTTAGCGTCTAAATGATTTTAATTTTGAAATTTATTGCGAAAACTTGACCTCGGCCAGGGTTTGAACCTGGACCTCCCTCTCACTAGGCGTCTCACCAATTTCATTAATCGTTAAATATATATTGCGACAAAATTTTAGATCCGAGATTGAATCGTGACGTTTAAAAATGAATGAGATAGCGGAAAATAGCGAAACCCGCGATACCACGCAGAAATCGATTCCAACGAAAATGTAGTCGGCATTTCGTCGTTAAGAGATAAAACTCATTGCTCTCCGACGATGTCGATTTGGCCGAGGAACAGCGGCGGAGCGATATGATATCATCGCCCGCCCAAAATTTCCTTAACAAGGTACGATTTCGCCCGTTGTACGGGCTTCCCCGTGCCATTGTTTCCCCGGATACTCATTGTTCCGTCCGCGAGAGCGGCGGAAGTAGCTGCGGCGTTGTCAGGGTGGCCGGGCTTCTCTTTACGTCCCTCCCGCCTTCCGGCCGCCCCGCTGGATGTCGCATTAGCATGCGCAAAGTTAAGGGCTATCAACGTCGCGACGTCGGAGTTCTTCGTGAACAGTCAGGCCGTCTGCCTGTCACTTCCAATGATTCGCAGTTTACGATGTTTACGAAACGCGAAAGGGCCATCGCCGTACAACTCTGCCGTATTCGAGCCGTCGTTTCTCGTCGTCGTTAACGTGCCGCACGCTTGCCGCTCCTTCCCCCCCCACTTGTCCCACGATTTCCGCGTCAGGGCTTACCGGTCAAGTCGACTTAGCGAACCGGAGGAGAGCCAGCGAGACGCTTTAATATTCCGGCGCGTAATCTGACGCAGATGCTGGGAAGTAAGTGCGGGATTTACGGAGTATACCGGCGCAATCTATTCGTAAAATTAACTGCGTTGCCTCCCTCGCGAGCGCGCGTTCTGCTTAAGGTCGGAATTTACGAGCCCGAAATAATCGATCGTTCCGCGCGCGCACCGCGCGCACCGCACACCGCCGGCAGGTGCAGCCGGTATTAATCTTCGGAATGCAAATGAAATTTAGTACCGGCCCTCTAACGCAACGCCCGCCACCTCCCTGCCGTTCATTAACGCATCTTCGACATCTCCCGCGCGACTGTCTTAGGAAAATCCCCAAGACCACCAACGACGCCGTCGTGCGCGTCGTTCCCGCCTCGCGTTGCTACGCGACCAAAGTTGCATGGAAAATGACGTTCGTATTACTCACGCTAAGTAGCATGACTTGGCATTGCACACGGGATCGTCTCTCGGGTGAAGCGTCCGTTGTTCTTGCGCCGCTCCTCGCCAGTTCTCAAGAAAGAGCAAGAGAGAGGGAGGGAGGGGGGGGGGAGAGAGAGAGAGAGAGAGAAGGAGGACGGTCGGTTTTCCGAAGTCCCGGGGTCCGCACCTGGAAAACGCAATTAGCCACGCGTCAAGACAGCCCCAGGGCTAGCACGTTGCGGACAGGCTACTGTTTATCTAATGCGCGGATCCCGAGAAGTTAAATGCCCGCCGGCGTCAGCATGCAAATTCTTCACCCTCGCCTCCTGTTGTTTCGTACCTTACGAGACGCCTTAAGGTATTAATCCACTTGGAGTTCCTCGCCAAGTCGGGCGAAACTTAATCGAACTCACGATTAATAACAGCGACGGAAAGTTCCACCGTCAATCACGATTAACGTTGACGATCTTTAATCTGCTCAAGTATTTGCAGGCTACCCCGCGCGCGCGCGCCAACTGTCACGAGGAAGGCTCGTATATCTCTTAACTTGATAATTGGAAAGTAATGCGCTTTATTTCCCCGCCCCAGAGTGGCCGTTTTGTGTTAAGAAAGGTCCCCTCCGGGCACGAGTTTATTTTGCGTCCCGTCATTACCCGACGACTCTTCGGAGATGTCTGCACGATATTTGCAGCATCAAATATTTGCGCGCCGAGTGGCCTTATCATCGGGACACCTTATGCATTATTGCGACGGGCCACCGAGCGAACACTCGACGAATTTCTTAAACGCCGTTTAAAATTGTAACGAATCTCTCTGGACGCCGACGTGCCGCCCTGTGCTAAAAGTCGCTGAAAATTTAATTTCGAGATTGTTGCGCAAAGTTTACGCTCCAGCTGCGTCCATCAGCTGGTAAATTATGCAAACGCATCATGCGCCTCGCGGAAACACGATCCCGCTCTCCGCCTCCTTGCCCTCTACCCCCCTCCCCTTCCTCTGGTTTCTTTCGAAAGAGGTCGATCTTCGACTTCCGCCGTGGCGGCGGCCTCCTTGTAACGAACTCCTCCGTCGAGACGAGGTGAGGTCGAGAAGTTACCTGCCTTCGTCCCGACCGATATCGACGTTCTCGGCGCGGCAAAAATGATCATAAATTGAGCTCCGCGTTATCCGACGTGCACTCTCGTAAGTGTATGCCGGCAGCTCGTTGAATTATGCAAATACATTGGACTTTGACAAACTGCATCTCGACACGTCGACGCTGACGAAGCGGGCTCGGCACGCCGCGCGGGAGCATCGGGAGGAGAAATCAGTCACCGCGTTTGTTAAACTCGAGGACAAGCGTATTTAGTTAAAGATAAAAAAAACACACACATCCCGGTCGCTTTAGAAATTGGCTTTCCAATAAGAGCCTAACTGACGTCGGGTTTTCATTAAACAAACGCGTCAGTCGGTTTTTACCGAACAAAGGGAGGTGGGCACGCGGTGATAAATGTGATAATTCAGTAACGCATTACTGACTGCCCGGAAAATGTGATGTTTCGCAACCGCCACGCGATGGCTTTGAATGGCATGCTCCACTCCGCGCGCGTCGTCGTATTACCCTTCGAAACGCGACCGCGTCGACAATACGAGACACGTGAAACGCGATTATTGCCTACAGTCCTCGCAATTAATATTCATCGGCTCAAATAATTAACTATCTTACGCTATCGACAATACGCGTAGAGCGACCGTTATTCACCGATGTTTCTTCAATTTTTATCGCGGCTCCATCCGTCAAAAATTTATACTTAAGAGATAATGCAATAATAAATTGAAACTATTCAGCACCAATGATAGTTTCGAAGTTACTCGTTTCGGCACCCACAGAAAGAATTTCCGGACCCAATGCTATTACAATATATCATAAAATAGGATCGATATAGCGACAGTCATATTTATTATAAGAGAAAGGAATATTTTGATCTTAAATGAAAAATTCTAAAATCTAGAATAAAATGATAGTACGTATCGTCTTTTGTCGAATATCGCGGTGCCAACTTCGTGCGTTGTAAGATGCAGGGACAATATATTCTAAACGCAAGAATGTACACGGAAAAAAGAATGATGTATCAACAAGATCAGTGTAATTGAAATAAAATGGTTGAAACAAGATCAGTATTAATAAATGAAAAGCACCAAATTGTCGTCTTAATAGTCTGGATATTTAGTTGAATGCTTAAAATTAAAATCCATAGCAAATACAATTGAGTGAATTATTTATGTTTGCGGCAGCCCGTGACGTTAACGTTTAATTCAAGCAACTTCATTTTGCTTAATTCAACAGCATTTTTTCCGTGTATAAACTTACATTTATATAAGTTATTCTGGTCTCAATGTAGTAAGTCAATCTTTTTTAATTCGACAGAGGAGAATAAGAATTATTGATTTCATTTTGATATCGTCTTATTTTATACCGAATGTGAGAAATATAAATGTGTCAAGGATATTTTTTGTCACAGATAACAGAAGTCCTTTCTGAGGGTGTAACATTGTGATTCATTTATGATTTCAGACCCTCGACTCGCACCCACGGAATTATCGGCGGAGGCGAATGTTTCGCGGTCATTTCATTCGGCGCCGAGGTAAGAAATTACAAATTATCTCACGGTGTTTACGGGCGATAAGTAGACTTTTAACGACACTTGGATTCGAGTGTATCTCATATCGCTCTTTGAACTCTTTCCCGGCTGCCCGTCGTTTGCAAGTCGAGTGCAATACGAATTGCTAACTGGGAAAAAATTGGACAAAAAAAAGAACAACCGATATCGATTGTTTACCAATATGATATAGGCGCGTAGCGGGATTGCACGTACGGTTAAAGTCGGGAGTGCTAAGTGCCGCGCGATCGTTGCATTCTAGTTGACACGCGTAACGTAATTGACAATGTTTTCGCGAACACGTACGAAATTTATCGCCCAAGCGGGAGAACGCGCGCGCAGACGCGTTATACGTGCACGCTCGTATACGTAAGTCATAGCAATGCGTCATTTATTGACACACTTTAATGTTTTATTATACGGCGAAATACTAATTACGAGATACACCGGTCGTCTGAAATTTATAGCTTTCGAACTTTCACGAGCATAAATAAAAAGGTAAATGATAGGAGATTCGTAGGTGGGGCTCGGTAAAAAGCGATAAATAAACGTGACGTAGTGATTTTTGCACACAGAGAGAACGG